GCATAGATAATTATTGGGCTGCCACAATTACTCCCATTTGGAGATTTATAAACTTTGATTGGGCCTCTTGCTATTTCACCCGATAGGAATTTAACTGGGCAAATATTATTATTTACCCTCTTTCTCATTTTAATCCCAAACTTAAATAGTGGGCTGCTTAATAAATTGGTAGAAATAAATTCCTCAACTTTGAAAATCAATTGGAATTCTCATGTCCTCTTCATATGACAATATGAAGGCAATAAAGAGCATAGCAGAATGGGTACTTGCAAATATATTAGTTTGAAGACACCAATCACACAACATACATTATCTGTGTTTTAATTCTTGAAAAGCATATATTTTGGTGTTATCAATGCTCATGCTTATGGTATGATTATTTGGTTATGAATTACAATAACAATTGGTTCACTCACACTAAGTGCTCATCAAAGCCCTGCTCCGCGTAGGCACCTAAAGCCCTGCTTCGCGTAGGCACCTAAAGCCCTATCACGAGTAGGCACATCAAAGCCCTACCACAAGTAGGCACATCAAAGCCTTGCCCCGTGCAGACACCAAAGCCCTGTCACGAGCAGGCACCTCAAAGCCATGCCCCGCGCAGGCACATCAAAGCCCTACCACGAGTAGGCATATCAAAGCCTTGCCCCGCGCAAGCACCAAAGCCCTATCACGAGTATGCACATCAAAGCCCTACCACAAGTAGGCACATCAAAGCCTTGCCCCGTGCAGGCACCAAAGCCCTGTCACGAGCAGGCACCTCAAAGCCATGCCCCACGCAGGCACATCAAAGCCCTACCACGAGTAGGCACATCAAAGCCTTGCCCCGCGCAAGCACCAAAGCCCTATCACGAGTAGGCACATCAAAGCCCTACCACAAGTAGGCACATCAAAGCCTTGCCCCGTGCAAGCACCAAAGCCCTGTCACGAGCAGGCACCTCAAAGCCATGCCCCGCGCAGGCACATCAAAGCCTTGCTCCGCGCAAGCACCAAAGCCCTGTGACAAGCAGGCACATCAAAGTCCTACCACGAGTAGGCACATCAAAGCCTTGCCCCGCGCAAGCACCAAAGCCCTATCACGAGTAGGCACACCAAAGCCCTGTGACAAGCAGGCACATCAAAGCCCTACCACGAGTAGGCACATCAAAGCCTTGCCCCCGCGCAAGCACCAAAGCCCTATCACGAGTAGGCACATCAAAGCCCTGTCACGAGTAGGCACATTAAAGCCTTGCCCCGCGCAAACACCAAGCCCTGTCACGAGCAGGCATATCAAAACCCTGTCCCGAGCAGGCACCATCAAAGCCTTGCTCCGCGCAAGCACTAAAGCCCTGTCACAAGCAGGCACATTAGAGTCTTGTCCTGCACAAGCACCTCTAAGCTTTGCCCCGTGTAAGCACCCCTAAGTCTCGTAATGAATCAAAGTAATAAACCCGACCACGAGTCTGTCCCGAGCTTGTCAGGCTCAACCTATTATTAAATTCATTGGAGCACAGCTCGAGATATTATTTCACATTGGGCTCGGGGGCCTGTCCTCGAGCTCAACACATTGTCTACTCCCAGTCAGAAGGGCTTGGGATAATTGCTTCACATTGGGCTCATGCCTATCTTCGAGCTCAATTCTTTTTTTCAAATCCCAGCCACAAGAGCTCGGGATGGTTGTATCACGTTGAGCTCGGGGGCCTATCCTCGAGTTCAATCCATTGTCAAATCCTAAACACAAGAGCTCGGGATAAGTCTCTCACATTAGCTTGAGATTATCCTCGAGCTCAATACAATCTAATCCTAGATGCAAGGGCTCGATATAATTATTGCACATTGAGTTCGGGCTATATCTCCTAAATGAATCTTTGTCCATTCGTCAAACCCATTACTTCCAAAACTTTTAACAAAGCTCGAGGTTGAGCTCGTTCTTTTCAACTTCTAAACAAGGTAGAGTCAAGCTCTTTCACATCAAGTACTGATAAAGCTTGAGCTCGGTCATGCCAAATTCTTTTACAAGGTCGAAGTCGAGCTCAGTTCTCTCAAAAATTTCAACAAGATCCGTGTGCTCGGGGGCCTATCGACTTGACATGAGCATGCCTATTCTTGAACTTAATATACTTATGCATCTCATGCCAGAAACTCCCACATTGCACACGAGCTCCTGACATGGATGCACGGGGGCCTATGATGTGTATGAAAATTATAGCCCGACCCCGAACTTTCAAGCATGGCCCGAGGTAAATACCTCGACCACTCTCATCTCCAAATATCCTTTAAAATGTGGTCGGGCCTCTCATAGGTCGGACCTAATAATCGGGTCCTACTAAGGTCGGGTCCACATGCCAAAATATTGTCCTCTTCTCGAGTCTCTTGCGAGTTTTAGTGCTCCTATGACTCAACTGTTTATCATTATCTAAATACTAAACGTGTTACAATTCATGCCAAACCTAAAGTGGTAATTGTGATATAACTCAATCACTGTACAAGATAAAGATTACAGGTGGTTGAATCCTGATACAACTCAACCACTGACATCTATAAATACAGGACTCAGCTCCATTATTCGGGTATGTCTTTACAATACAATTACAGCACATACTTTTACACAATTTCCCTCTCTGACTTAAGCATCGGAGGGGCGACTAGCACACACGTCGTTGCCTTTGTTTCAGGTACTGGAAGGCTCCGTTTGTGCTCAATCCCAGTCCTCAATCTCGAGAAATCAACAGGTACAATTTTTGACATCATCACCTTTTATTTTTACGACCGCGCTATGGTGACCGAAACGGTTAACAGAAACTTTGACCTCCTAACATGGAAATACAACCATTAAATCCAATAGGGGCGCGCCACTTGTCAATTCGATCATCCATTTGGTAAATAATTTGGCACATATAACATCTCCCTTTATTTTTACGACTACGCTATGGTGACCGAAACGGTTAACAGAAACTCTGACCTCCTGACATGGAAATACAACCGTTAAATTAAAAAGGAAGACAAAAAATTAATAAACCAAACAAGGACCCGGTCTAATGTGTCAAACCCCATAACTCACTACCCTCGTTATCCCATTTTTCCCAGACGATTCTACCAGATTTAAACCCTAAACTGCCGACACGGATTATCTCACACCCTCCGAGGTCAGCACGAAAAGAAGGCATATATACCCTTCATCGCTTGCTACCCCAGAAGGACCCATTCTTGTCTTCGTTTGTTGAGTGTATCCAGCTTCACCAGTGTTGATTTGGTTTATAGCAAGTGAAAGAAAGTTCGAATATGTAGGGTTTTCGATGGATTGACTATACTGTTAATTTTTGGGGGGTTAATTTTTTTTCTCATTCTGTAGTCAGTAGCAGTCGTTGGGTCGAAGGAAGGTTTTTTTTTCTTTTTATTCTCCTAAATCGTGTGCATTGTAAACTAGCTAAAGTATTGGCTTGGATATTATGTATGTTGTTTCCAATTGCATTATACCAGATCCAACACAATGTTTTAGATGATTTCGTTGTTGCTTATGAGTCGGTTTTCATTTTGCACTATCCGGTTGTCACTAATATTAAATCACTCGAGTCTTATAGTTGGAAGATTACGGGGTTGGTATGTGGGTAGATAAAAAAACTATGATCGAACACTTGAAATTTGTTCTGCAAAATTTCCATTGATTCTTTGGATAGTTTTTTGTATTCTGTAATCTCAAAAGAACATGAAGTTAGCTTCTTCTTCTTCTTCTTATTTTTTATTTATTTATTATTATTATTATTATTTTTTATGTCACTTCTGAATGAGGGCTTTCATTCAGGAATGCCCCTAAGTTTTTATTTATAATTTAAAGAACTTTTCTTTCAATTTCTATTTCTAAACTCTCAGATGTTGAAATTTTGATTTTTCTCATTATAATGTGTAATATTTTTAGATGTCTGGAATATGTACAGATAACAATAAGATTGCTTTAATGGATGCAAGCTCTTAGTAGTTTGGAATATGTACCGAAAGCAATTTAATGACCTTATTCACTTATGCATTTCCGGCAGTAGTTTCATCGCTACGTGGTAGTTAAGTAATGTCGTTTTCTAATTGCGTCATTGTATGAGGACTCAGAGAGTGTGTTTGATTGTCATGAAAAATATTATCTAGAAAAGAAAATATTTTTCATCTTTTGTGGAAAATAAAAATCACCTCTACCCGAGGAAAATATTTTCCTTAAAAACAAGAAAAATTAGGCATATTTTCAAAAGTTGGAAAATGTTTTCCATGAAAAAAAATAGCAATCAAACACTCCAAGTAGAAATTTGGGTGGAAAATTGATATTTTTCATGAAAAATAAATGTAATCAAACACACCCTCAATATGAATTGTCCATGTGGTATTATGTTTTTTGTTATGCGATGTGGATGGGTTGGAGTTGCCATTTAAGGAATGTGTAGTATCAAGGTCAGAAAGTCTTATCTGTTCATTTTGATGGATACTGCATGGTCTCTTCTTTTCTACTGGTAATTTATATCCGTGGATCAAGATATTGGATTGTAAATTTTGAAGTAACTTATATCCAGTAAATGAGGTAAAGTGTGTGTGTAAATATGAAAATAATGACTATTAAAAATATTGAGGCAAAACCAACTTGGACTTTGATCAAATTGCGTCGTCTTACCATGTTTAAGCATTGTCTCTTTGTTATGTAAATTCTGTTCATTTCAATGAAATGATTTATATAGAAACAGCAGCAAGTCTTATTAATTGGGTCCTTAAGACACATTTCCATCCTCATGTGCCTTCCAGCATAAAATGAAATTATCTAAGTTCTTCAGACAGTGTTATATTGCTCGTCACCAATCAAGAGATAAAATAAAACCCATGTAACACTTGAGATAATATGAGCATCCAATCTACATAGTTTCCAATATTCTTCAGCCTTTTAGCATCCAATACATTAACTCACCTTGCTCACAAGCGCTAATAACTTACAAAACATGAAGCACAGAAGTTCTCCTGGACCAACCATTAAACAATATATGTATACAGAACCCCTCTACGAGTTTGCCTCCAATTTTCCTTGAAGAGTCTCCCACAACCATTCTTCCCTTTATGCTCGAGAACAAAACTCAGACAGTTCTATACCTCAAAAATGAAAACTACGTTGTCAACAATTATTACAATAAGTACAAGATAAAAACCGTTGAATATTACTTAAAACACACAAATTAACGAGATCACATCACCCACCTCAGGTACAGTCACAGTCACACCATTCCATCATGTTACGCCATGACCCAGCAATTTTGTATTTTCAAGATCATTCTCGTCATCGGACTCCACCAACATAACGGTTTCAACATCGTCCAAAATTTCTTTCCCTGCGACAAAAAGCTGATTGATGCAACATATTCAGTTATGGTCGTTTATAACATATACAAATTTGGCTTCTTATGAGTACGTTGTCTACAGGAGAAACTTCCATGGAATTAACAAAATCATCATGTTTCTACTTAACAAATTCCTGCCTATTCTGCTGAAAATAAGTATCATGTTTATACTTCAAATCAAATAAAATTTCAGATTTCACACAATGAAAATGGAGATTTATCTACACACATCATCCTATACATCAAATTCACAGAACAAAATTACTCTACTCTAACTTTGAAGAGTTCTAATTGTTCTGAAGCTTTCCCGTCATTAAAAAAAAAAAAAAAAAAGGAATCACACAACAAACATAAAAAGATTGAACCCAGATACAAATAATCCCCTTATCAAAAGATGTGGAACATACTTGAAGAAAATCGATAGTAACTAAAAACAGTGTGGCTGGAAAGAGGAAAAGTTTTTAGATTTGATAAATTTTTTTCCCAAATTTGAAGAAAGTTACAAAGAAAGATGATGGTGCGACACAGCATTTCCAACATTTACAGCTTCATAAATCTTACTTAGCATTTCAAACACAACGAAAATAGAGATTTGAACTCATTTCTCTTCCCAGATTTTAAAACAAATTTCAAATTTCAAAAATAATTTTAGATTTTACAGTAAATTTCAGCTTTTACCTTTTCTGTCATAATTTCGAGGCAATGGTCGGAACAAATGTGCGGCGAAATCGAAAATGGCCAAATCTAGAATGAAGGTGTGGCCAAATCGATGGTGTTGGCGCTGTAGACTTCGGAGGTATGGCTGGATTATGAGCAGCAAAATGGAGACTGTGTAGATAAGAAATGAAAAGGCAAGAAAGATGCCGTCCAAATTACTAATGAATTAGGAACTAAAATGGGTAATCCGACCGCGGTTTTGGTTTTGATTGGTTTTTAAAAAATCAAAAACAAAATAGATTAAAGAATTATTAATTAATTCATGGCACGTCATTCTGTCATGAAACAGGTCAAAGCGCATGGTAAAGTAACATTTTCCATAAGAGATTCCCTCCTCGCTTTGCCGCTTTAGTTTAAGGGCCGTGCTATTTGCACAGAACCCTGTGCACAGGGTTCTGTGCAAGGAGAGAAATCCTTAGTTTAATTGGCCAAACCTAATTCCAATTTTTTCACCTCCAAATTTCTTGTGTGTGATAAAATTCTTTTTCCTGGATTTTGCAAGAAATTTTATTTAGCTCGTCAAATTGCCACGATTGGCTGTGATATAATTCTTTCTCCTTGACATAATATTCATTTTGGGTCAAAAAAATTCGGCTGAATGGACTACACATTTGAGCTCTTCGAGTTTCTTCAAGGTATGCCAATCAATCCTACTATTAATTTGTAAATTGTGTAGAAAATATAAGTACATATCTTGAATTTTGAGATTACGTTTTCAATTTCTCGCTATGGAAAAGAAAATAAATATGAAGGCTGTTCTTCTGTATGAATTTTGAGATTTGACATATTTGAAGTTTTGAAGTTGTCCTTTTTGGTTGGTTGTTGTGGTGAGATAGAGTGGGATTTTATCCCCAATTTTAGGGAGACGAGGGGACCAGCAAATAAAGGGGAAGTGGCTGGAAGAGGGGTAATGGAATCTGCCGTAGTGCTTGATAACCATGCTATACAGAACACACGCTTTCCCGTTGGTTCAATCAAAGACTAAGCACTTCTAATGGATTTCATTATACACGTGTTTATTTTAATCAAATGACGTAGGAATCTGCCGTAGATTGAGGGGTAATGGAATTTTTTCAAGGCATGAGGATAACATAACGTGGGAATATATTATTTTTCTTTTGTGGATTGCAGTGCAATTTGCTTGCTTTGTGACTTTTGACATTATTTTTGATATTTTAATTTATTTTTTCGATTTTTCGAAGAAGATAGTTTTTCTGAATTAGAATGTGGATCATATAATCAAGAATTTAGTACAATTGGCACTTTGGCAATGGATTCCAATTCATCAATTTCTTTTGTATATTTTATTTCTATGGTTGGAAAAGCATTGTGCGTTTAATATTGCAATGATGATACTCTGATTGCAAATAATATATTCATGTGAAGATCTCCTTAAACTGGGACACATAATTTAGTCAAGATTCTTTCTTCTTATTCTGTATAACAGTGCACTTTGCAGCTGATTCTGTATTGAGTCTTTTGACCACTATGTCTTATTCTGCATTAACAATTTACTGTTTGTTTTTATGCGAATTCATCCATGATAAACATGCAAAATATTGTCATTTAAGTTCATCATTATCTCTCTAATTTTCCTTTATTCTGGGAAGTGCCAAACAACTTAAGTAGGTCCAAGCAAAAATAAAAGTACTTTTGTCACTCCAAAACCTACCACAATTTATGTTGTATACCAAAATTTCTATATGGAACAGATAGATCCTGTTATGGATTCTCAATTATTTGGATCTAAAATCTTACCTACATTTTAATTGTTCACACGTGAGATGTTATGATACAATATTCTTTCTTAAAATAATCCACTAAAAGCTATTAGATGTTTCAGAGAATCACTATTTTAACAAGAAGTTGTTATTATTATTGTTAATATGAAATTAAAAGAACAATTTATTCATAGATCCCAGCAGATAAAGCAATCTTTCTTCTCTCTTTTGAGAAAAGCATGAAAAATTAACTAGTAAATATATGATGATTTGCTTGTCAAATAATCAGTTTTTTTCATCTAAAGATAAGCAGAACCAAGAATATATCACTGGTTTGTACATGTCATCACCGAGGCCCTGCAACAACTTGAACCGAGGTTATTAAGATGAGAATATATAACATAAGAATTGAGATGTCAACAAATGGAATTGATAATAAATGAAGTGAAAGACGACGACTCATAAGGTAATTGGACCATATTTTTGTTTAGGTTAAAAGAAATTTATGCACTAGTAGAACAAGTTATGAAGAGGAAGAGGTAGATCAATATTAAGATGTCATGTTTCCACATTTAACGAGGATATATTTTCATCAAATCTTCTAATGTTAGCTATGAAATGACCATATAGAATAGGAAAAAAATTCACATAGCAAACCTCAAATTTATTAGGAACAAGACCTTTTCTTTCTTTCTTTCTTTTAGCCATGTTACCTTTGGGGCGGTACCTCAACATCTTGTTTCTTGCTCACGATAAATGGATAAAGTTGGCTCGAGCTCTTTCTTCACTGTATGAGCAGTTAGAGCAGAGCGAGAATGGGGAAAGGGATGGGGGTGAATCTGCATCATAAGGACTAGATGTAATGGATATAAATATGTCATGTTAATCGTAAAAATTATTTTACTTTGTATTTTTAATGATTAATGATGAAAAATGATATCCTCATGTTTAGCGGTGCAGGTAGAAGCTTTTACTAGAAATGTCTTCCTTTGCAAAGCACATGTTATATGAGTTGAAAACAGATGTTATGGACTTATCACAATTAAAGAAGAATCACTCATACATGAAAATATGAATTCAGTAAATAGGTTATTATCTCTTTTTAAATTAAATGTGTCACAAATATTGTCTAAAGAGCAAATATTTGAAAAAAAGGGAAACTCTTGTAATAGGCACAGCAAAAGGTGAAAATGTTCGTAGAGCTGAAGAAAATGATGAGGCATTGGATGATGAAGTAGAGGGTTCCGAAGGTAGGGTGTTTATTTGTTAGTAGTTAATTTTCTTACTACATGAAGTTCATTTACATGTTCGGCTTTTATTATTGATTTTGCAAGTGTAGGTGTAGGTATAAGCACTTGCCAAGGACTCCCGATGACCTTCCTACTCGAGGAGAATGTAAACAAATTAAGACCTCTCGTATCGTTCGTACAACTCGAGAGAAAATTCGATTTTTGTACAATTCAGTAAGCAGACGAGCAACAAATTCTGGAGTACATAGTTTGTTAGTTCATGATATCGGAGCTATCATTCAATCACATTGCCCAATGAATACTGGTTATTGGAGGACCATTTCTCCAAGTGAGAAGGGCCTTATAGATGAGATCACAGTAAGCATATGTGTGCATGTGTTTATGTTGTTGGAAAATTAATAGCCAAAGAAAACTATATGAATAAATTAAAAGCGCATTATTTTGTGAATTCGTTTAGTTTTACTTTATGACTTGTTTTCTAGAATTGGGTAGTTTCTTATAATTATGGTTTCTTTTTATTTTAATAATATTTTTAATTATGTCAATTTCAGATGAACTTCGAGATAGATTTGAAAGACTCAAGATTGGCAAATGATATTAATAGACTATATAATGGGAGGTATAGTGAGTTCAAGGTTGAGTTGAGTGCATACTATAAATTGCGCAAGACACATAAGAATGGATTAGCCAATCCCCCTTTAGAGATGCTTGATAGAGGTGTAGATCAATGGGTAGAACTGTGTAATCATTTCAATTCCGATAAGTTCAAGGTATTTATTGTGTTACTCATTACTAGTTCACAACTTTTACTCCTATTTTTGTTATGTAATATGTGTGTGTATATATTCTGTACTTGCAGAAGGCATCATCTGCAAATATAGTGAATCAATCAAAGAAGAAGTATAATCATTGTACTAGTTCACGTCTTTTCTCATACACAGCGAAAGAGATGGCTGAGGTAGTTAACTTATATGTTATCAACATGTAATTAATTAATTATAATCGCTAAGAATTTGAATATAGTATTCGAAACATGAATTTTTTATTATTAGGATGGTTCGAAGTTTCCCGAAGTCGACACATTTGAGTTCGCTTATGCAAGAAAGAACAAGTGTTGGACTTATAATGTAGCTAAAGCTCAACATGTAAGAAAGGCTCAGCACTAAAACTTTATTTTCTTTATCATGTTTTATACCAAGTTAGACAAAAAAGAATATATTGCAAAGTTAGATCAATAGAGGCCAAAAAACTTAACATTATGTTAAATAGTATAACAATTTTTGTATGATTTTGTTGTGGCTATTTTGGAAGTGGACATTGGCATGGTCAAAATGTTTTAAAGAATCGATTATATCTCTTAGGTTGTACAATATCTCTTGTGTGCAGTTGTGTTATATCTCTTGCAAAAAATTTCATTTTATGAGTTGCTTTATATATATTGTGAATTGTGTTTTTAGGATGAGATGCTTGTCAAAGAATATGAATATCTTATACAGAAGGCAAAGGAGCACCAACTTCCCAAAGATATTCGTTTGCAGGAGATACCAGTAGATGATCCTGATGCCGAAATTGATATCATGATGTCTGTTCTAGGTACGAAGCCTGGACGTCAAATTCGTGGGTTGTGAGATGGTCGCCTTAGAAACATTCGTACATCTTCTAATGTACACAATTTGGAGAAAGAGTTAGGACCAGAACGCACTGCTCGAAAGACAGCTGATGCAACTCTAGTAAAGATGGAGCAAATGATGCAATATAAGATGAAGGTTGTTGAGATACAATTCAATTCTATATTGCAGTCTTGGTATCATTCTATGCATCAACTATGCGGTAAAGTTCCTGGTTTTGTTGTGCCCCCTTTTACACCATTGTCAATAGAGAATAATGTTGATGAGGAAGATCATTTGGTGATGATCAGTCGCATATCTAATTCATGAGGATGAATAGTTATTTTGTTAGGTGCATAATAATAGATATAAAGAATGTTTGCTATACTCATTACTCTTTTTGAGTTTAGATTTAATCATACTTGGTGAAGGAATTTTATTTGTGTTTAGATAAAATATTTTGTATTTAATGTTATATCGATTGACACTACAAGTCTTAGTTAATTTATTGTCATTTTGTATCTCTATATTATTTTGAAGGCGCTAAAAAATTACTGTAATATAAATAACAAATAAAATATAAAAATATAGTTTAATTTCTCCCTACGAATTGTTTAATAATAGCCTACGCATAAGCTTTTCCTACAAAAAATTGTTTATAGAGAAAAAAGGGTTTAGCCCGCAAAATAATATGTTATCTTGTCGTCACAGATTCTTAATTGTTGGGAAAAATGGATCTAGGGATGGCAAAAAAATCTGCTCAACCCAATATCCATGGGACCCGTCCCGAAAATACCCGACAAATTGGGTATATGGGATGGGTATGAGGTGAGGATCATTGCCTCGAAGCGGGTATGGGAAACATAGTCCTCAACTCGTTACCCACCCCGTTTAATATTAATTTCAAATATAAGTTTTTATCAAACAAGAATAATAGATTTATCATCATTTTTAAAGAAAATATAAGTTGTTTTTAACAAATTGGTGAAAAAGTAATCATATTTATTAACTAAGGACATAAAAAACTAAAAGCAAAAAATAAAATGAATAAAAAAATAAAAAAAAATAAATGGGACGATAAATGGGCAGGAGACTTGCCCCGCCCCGTACCGTCCCGCCGCCACCTTGCTCCTGACCCATCCCAAACTTAAACGGGTATGGGGCGGGAAACTATCTAGTGGAGTGGGATGGGTGTGGGGAAGTGTGCCCTGACCCATACCCGCCCCGTTGCCATCCCTAAATATATCTTAGCCTACAAATATTCTTTCCGCACAAAAAAATATTTAAACGGGAAAACACGATTTAGCCCACGACATAATTTGTCGGGAAAAGCGAAACCTTTACATGGGCGAACGTAACTTTAGTAAACGAATAATTTTGTCGGGAGACACTTTACGCGATGAATTTTGTTTGTCTCCAAAGGGTTCGTACAGAAAAAGCTTAGCCGACAAATTTAAAAAAATTGTCACCTTTTACCTATCCATCGATGTTTGCTCCACAAATGTGCCTACAAATTTATTTCGTTTGCAAATATTTCGCCCACAAATATGAACCTTTCCCCTACAAAAAAAAGTTGTAGGGAAAACATAAAATTCTTGTTGTGAGTGAGATTAGATTGTCTACAGGTAAAAGAAAATATCCAATAATGGTTTAAAAAATATGATCCCATTAGGCGTACAAAATGCAACTCATAGAATCCTTACAGAATGACGTGTCTTTTTCCTTCCAAATAAAAACTGAATGAAAGAAAAGAAACAAAATAAAACAAAAGAGGGAGGCAGCGCGATTTGGAGCCCTAACCCTAAAAATCGCCGCATGAAGGACGATTGTCGGATTCACGATTGATGAAACGTCAGTGTGAAATCGACCTCCGAAAGCCCATCTTTGCTTTTCCTTTTCATTGATTCGAAAGCTTGGAACCATCGTTTGCAGCAATGAAGAGTCTGAAACTGTAGCCGCACTCGTCTTCACTTTCGACAGCCGCATCTCATCCGATTTTCTCCACCTCCTACTGTCGCATCCCATCCAGTCTTCAATTACTTATATTGTGCATTGTCTTGAGTAGTGCCCAAAGAGGAATTGGTGGAGTTTGAATGTGTTCAGTAGTTTCCACATAGTAATTGATCTCACTGGCCTTCAGGTACGTTGAATTTGTGTTTTTGAAAATCATAAATAATACAATGTGTAAAGTTTTCGACAGTTAAAACATATTCAATTTTTGAGCAATTAGTTTAACATTTTATAGGTTATAATTGATTTGCAATTTATACAGATAATTGAAGTTATGAAGAGTTAATTAGATTCTTTCTTCTTTCTTTCTGCTTATTCACATGTGCCCTAATTCTAAGTGAATGCAATGAAGCAAAAAAAGTTGCCCTTTTAATCCTCCCAAAAAGTGTGCCGATCAACTAGCTAGAATTCTTCACAGGGGCTTCACTGCACATGGGAATCCTATTAGGAAATTGAAGATACATAGTGTTAGCTTTCAAGAAAAAATATTCCTTGTTAAAGCATTTGACACCAGAAATTTGTATCAAATTGAAATAGGTAGTCGAAGATCTGGCTCTGTTGGTTGTTTTTGTCATATTTGTTACAAGGTTTTTGCTAATTATGGTTTTGTCGATTGGTTTACAGGAACATATTGTTAAGACTAGCCACGGTTATGTCTCTGTTACTATCTTTGGAGACTTGGACAAGCCTGCTTTAATCACATATCCTGATCTGTTAAGATTCAACTATTGTTCCAATCTAATTTTTGTTTCAGGATGATAGGAAGGAATGTTGGGGTTTGTCATGGCTATAGAAGCATTGACCACTTCTTCACAGACTACTCGATAAAATGAAGATGCCCATGGGAGATAGAAAAAAAGGACGATTATTCAAAACATGAAGTGTTAAGTGTGGGTACTTTGATTGGGTCCTAGATGAAGAATCAAGCGGTGAATCGAACAAGCGAAGATGTGAATGTTGTAACCATCGAGGAAGTGAAAGATTTGCCAAGCATGTTCGATAGCCTAGCTAGAATAGTCGAAAAATGGGAAATCGAAATTTCATTGACATTTCAAAAGGGAAACAAAAGTGCCGAAGTTAATGGAAAAGGAAAGGGCCGTGCTCTATAAGGCGGCAACCTTGGATTGCATGTATAGAAGGCTAATATTATTGAACTATGTATTTGGCTTGATTTCGATCTGTAGCTACTGATGTGTGATGATTTTATTGAACTATGTATTTGGTCAATTTAAGGACTTTATTGAACTATGTTGGACAGTTCTTGGAGCCTTCTTTAATCGAGAAACGACATAGGATAGTTTTTAATTGGAAGAAGTTTATTGTCCAAGTGCCCAGTGACACCTTCAAGTGGCCAGTGTACTTAACACTACATTGGTCACCCATTACCATTACATACATGTAGTCTGATCACTTAAACAATAAAAATTTGACAGTCAATTTCAACAAAATGCCTGTACATTAATCGAAAAAAAATCCCAGAATAAAGAAATAAAATTCATTCATAGAACCTGTTTTTGGCCATACATCCTGTAAAGTTCATTAATAGAACATGTTCATTGTATATAATTTTAGCACAATAAAGATGAAATGAGGTACCATAAATCCCGTAATCTATCTATCATTTACCACACATGCATATATTAATACAGATGAAATGAAATACCATAAATCCCATAATCGAGGCATACAAATGAAATGGAACACAACATGAAGGGCAACCTCCAACTTCACTTGTAATATGAGTTTCTAGCATTGCCATGAGTCGACGTTATTGCATGAATATTTGGGACAGCATTGAACAGATTTACAACGTACAAATAATCTGCACCCGGTACCAATGAATGACGGTAATAATACAACATGAGGCGGTAAGAAATCTAGTAAAATTATCCTCTAATACTCCAAATTAACTAAAAGTGTACCTGAAGAAAATTGTGTGGCATTTGGCTCGTTCAAAAGTACGGACCTGTATGTGGAAAATTTGGGTTGGAAAACGCATGACGGAAGGGAAAACAAATTGCCTCCAATTATAATGATTTAAACACTTGTTCACCTTGTGAATTGAGTATAACATTAGTGGATGATGGTGCGAACAAATTAGACGACGCTGATTGTTGCGTACACACTTGACTTTCGGTGTCACCCTATGTCAAGTACCAACATAATTATAACTACACAAATGAAAGCATGGAAAATAATTATGTTTACTTACCAATAGAAGCTGTGAATATGAGAATGGTGTGGGCTGCAAGGGCTAAAGATCCTGAGATGTCTGGACGTCAGGTGTAGACTTTTCCATATTAGTACGCTTGTCTCCCGCTCTCATTCCTCAACCAAATTTCGAAGTCGCATGTATATATATGGATTGGACTGAGATTTGTCTTGGTGTTTGAATAGAGGAAATTACCTTTGCTTTCTTCGAGGTTGACTCCAACGCACTTTTTTCTGTAGTTTCCGAAGAGCTTCCCTCCTGTTGGACAATTTAAGATCCAATATGCCAACACATGCGGTATTTTGCGAACTAGTACATTGTGTTGCGAAATTAAGATATTACTAGGAAAGGAAATTACTACCACAACTCGACCTTGTAGTCCTCAATTCCATAGCTTGGGATTTTATCCAATCCATTATCGCCCGTGCTCGCCCTTCATCATTTGCAGCAAGGTCCGCCACCTCCGAAAAAGCCTTACACATATCATCATATCTCAACTGTTCAGGTGTACTTACCAACCTGGTGTAGTTCATTGCGACCCAAGTGTGCGTTCTATTGACGTCCCTCCTCCATCGTCGCAATATGTACCTCTCTGGCATAACTGTGAAGTCATTACGATCGAGAACTGTGATCGCATGCTGGCAAATAATTTCTCGAAATTCGAACAAGTGGCAACTATACATCACTTGACATGTGTCCAACCGACATGAGACTGAAAAAGTTTTCTTCTTCCTACCCTCGCTACTACAAACTTCCAAACCTCATATTTCATCCGTCCGGCCCCTTTGCTTCTGAAGCGACTTCACAATACATCTTTTCTAATGAAATTATCCTGAGCTTCCTTAAATTTTGCAATAGTGTACAGTGCCTGAA